TTTTTTTTTTTTTTTTTTTTTTAACGTTTATGTCTTCTCTTTCTTTTCCTACCTTTTTTTTTTTTGTTCTTTATTATTCACATTATTATTTTTGATCGACAAAATTTTATTTTATATATATATATATATATGTAAGAAATGAAAATAATATTAAATTTAACATTTGATGTAAAAGTTGTAAATTGTAGTAAGTATATGTACGTAAGAAAATGTAATCATTTTATTATTTACATATTTAATTAAAATAAATTAGTTTAGGATATTCTTATCCAAAGAAAGACCACAACGAACCACAGCTGACCATTGCAAATTTCATTTTTATCTTCAAAACCCAGACGTTCGTGATAATCGACCAGACGTTTATTATCAACTTTTATCAATCTTTTTCTTTTTATTATATATATATATATATATTTAATTATTCGATTATATAATTTATTAATAATAATAATATTATATTAAATAATTTAAGATTTTATAATATCTAATAATAAATTTAAAATAATATATTTTGGTTTTAATATATGTATTTTATATTATTTATAATAAAATTACATTATAATAATTAATATAATAAAATATAAAATTACATATTAATTATATATATATATATATATTATATTAATTATAAAATAATATATTATATAAAAATTGTATAATATAAAATAATAAATTTAAAATAATATATTTTGTAATTAATGTAATATATATTTTATATTGTAATAAAATTGTATATTAATTATAAAATAATATATTATATATAATTTATAATAATTATATAAATTATATATTATCTTAAATTTATTATTTCATATAAAAAAATTTTATAATTTAAAATAATATATTTTTTATAATTAATATAATATGTATTTTATATTATTATATAATAAAATTATATTATAATAATTCTAATAATATAATAAAATATAAAAAATATTATATAATAATTATAAAATATATATCATACATAATTTATAATAATTATATATTATATTATAATTATTCGATTAATAATTATAATCCTATCAACGCTGATTTCTTATTCTAACTTCTTGGTTTTATTAATAAACTTGATTATTTACATATTTATTATAGTTATATAATAATCTTTATTATATAACTATATAATATATATGTAAAGTGAAAATATTAATAAAAAAAAGATATTTTTAATAATAATCATACCTTTTTAATGAAAAATTGCACGATTACATTACAGTTCTGCATCTTCCAGTTGTATCCATTCTTTTACCATTTTCACAAAGATTAACTGTATTTAAACGTGGTACTTTTATTATCTTAGCTTCTAAATTTTTATTATCTACTCCTTGTGTTAATAATGGTGCCCTTATTATCCTATCTCTCGTATTAAAATCTTGTTCATAAGATAAAAATCGCGGTTGATCGTTGGCAACCATTGTATTCACGTTGCTATCATCAGCAATTGCTATTTGTTTGTTAAATGAAATGAAAATCATGAAAATATATGCGAATACAATAATCATTGATCTACGATGCATCTTTCTTTATTTATTTATTTATTTATATATTTATACAAAATGTTTTTTTGTTCAATTGAAATGATCTTTGCTTTTTCTTTTTTTTTTCTTCAAATTTTTTTTAGTTTTATTCCAAATGTTACGTTGATTAATTTTAACTTGTTCGATAACCTTTTAATTAAAAATAAGAACTTTAATTCCGGAACTGATTAATCGTCTCTTTTTTTTTTCCTTCTTTTTCTTCTTCTTCTTCTATTTATAAAAACAAAAATAAATTTAAAAAAAAAATATATCAATTCGTCGTAATCAGTGTTAACCAAACAAAATTTCGATTAAATATAATTAAACGAAGAAGTGGTTGAATAAACAAATGAAATATATTTTTTGATTAATTACCAAAATTGAAATGTTTTACCGTGGTGAATTTAAAATAAATCGATTATTTGATGATTATTATTACGAAAGATAATTTTTTATAGGTTTTGTTAAATGTTGAAAAAAAGGAAAACCCCTTTTTCGAGGTTTCCAGACTAAATCGTTTATCAGAGGCCTTCGGTATTATTACTCGATATCACGAAACCAGAAACTAATTTGTTCTATTCGTTCTATTCGTTTCACTATGTTGTTCACTACTGTTCATTTGACAAATATATTCCAAGCTTTTAATGAAACCTAGTCGATGTGTAATAACGTCATAGATGTTATTAAAACCAATGGAAAATGATTACTGAATTTTTTATTATGATTTATCCAATATTTCTTTTCGTTTCTTTTCCTTCACTTATCATTAAGATTAGAAATAGAACAAAAATCTAAACTCGTGTTTCATTTATTCATACAAAAAAGTATGATTAACAAATATATATATATATTCCAAGCTTTTAATTAAATCGAGTCAATGTTAATACGTCATAGGTGTTATTAAAACCAATGGAAAATGATTACTGAACTTTTATTATATCTATCTAATTTTTTTTTTTTTTTTATTTGTTTGTTTCTTTTTCTTCACTTATCACTAAGATTAGAAATAGAAAAGAAAAAAATAATAATTTTCAACTCGTGTTTCATTTATTTATACGAAGTATGTGATCGACGCAAAAACAAAAAATATAATCTTTGCGACGATCAGCTGGTTTTGTGTATACAATGTTTCGAATAAATTCACAAAATATAAATTGTTCTTTCATGTATATAAATATGTAAATAAATTTGTTAGTTAAAATAATCACCTTTTTATTTAGATTGACACCGGTGTATACCACCGGTGGCTCATCCCGCCCGATGGAACAATTCTGCATGTACCACCGGTGGCTCATCCCGTCCCATAGGACAGACAAAAATGTACCACTGGTGGCTCATCCCGTCCCATGGGTCAGACAAAAATGTACCACCGGTGGCTCATCCCGTCCCATGGGTCAGATAAAAATGTACCACCGGTGGCTCATCCCGTCTCATGGGGCAGATAAGAATTCAAGAATATTAACTGGGCCCCTGACGCAGCCCTTAAAGTGTTAATCATCGAAGAACAATATAATTGAAGTATGATTATTAACTTGCATACAAATACCAATTTTTTTTTGGAAAGAATTGGTGATGAAGACAAATCTTTGAATAAAGAAGTAAATCTTTCGTTTCGAAGGAATAATCTTATCGTGATTCCTGATGCTTTGAATTTTCCCTTCGAATAGTAGAAAAGATAGCTAACGGATTTATCGTTAAACGAGAACACGTTTTCCATCGTCATTCGAATTACAATCACGTTTCGTCGTTGATGTATTCAACAATATGTCGCGGATATCGTTGCGCGTGCTTCCGCTACCCTAATACACAAAATGACTCTTGAATTAGTGAGAGACAAAATTATGAGTTTTGCAAAACAATTCCAAAAGATTTATCAATTCGATTGGATTGTCTATGAAACAACAACTCATTTAACTAATTTTAATTGAATCGATTAATATAATAATATGTCTCATTATTAAAAATAACTTTTGCAACATTGTTTGGGAGGTTGTTGTTCGAATAAAAAAAAAAATTAACAATTTTCAGTTTACATTTTAACCAATTTTTAAGCAAATTAATTTGTGGGATTTCAACTGTAATTTTAATCTACTCAAACGATATATATATATGCTAAAATTTTTGAAAAAATCTTATGCAACTTTGTTTGACACTAATATCAAACTTGAACAAATTTCAATTGATTTTCATGATATTTTTAAGTTAGTTATTTGATTATATTTTATTTGTTTTTGTTCGTGATATTTAATTAATCTTATGTAAGATATTTATTACAAATAATTTCATTAATAATATTTAAAAAAAAAAAAAAACCTAAAAAAATATTCATTGAATATGAAAAAAGGGTTGAACGAAGCGTGCAGTGCTGCCATCTGATCAAAGTTGAACGAACGAGACTTGCATCCCGACGCATGATAAAAACGATGAATGCACAACTGTGATCAATCAAATCTACAAATTTTGTTTGAAGGAAATGTCACAATTTTCGTTAGTTATCAAAACAATTTAATCACCAACTAACAGTAAATTACCAAATTTTCCCATAACTTAGAATATTATTCCATGGTCGATAAATATTTAACAGGATAATAGTAATGCTTGCGATTTTCTCATAGGAGCAGGAAATAGAAGGAATTTTATGAGACGAAGATCAAGGTAGAAATTTGTGTACAGTCGGTGATGATGTTTCAATTAATAAATGAACGAATTTTTTGATATTAAACATTTAATTAATATTAGGAATTATTAATTAATAAATGTGTCAAATATTTCAATTCAATTATCTTATTTATTAAGATAATCGAATATTATATTATATTTATTAATTATTATTATTTAATAATTTAAAAATATATAAAAACAAAAATATAAATTAAAACACACACACACCATTTAATTTTATTATTAAATGATTAAATTAAAAATAGTAAAGCTAAATAAAAAAAAAAAATACTGATATTATAATCAAATAATAAAATATCAATTCTTATATATAATTATGAAACAATTATCTTATTTATTAAATACCATGATGCAATATTTAATAATTTAAAAATATATAAAACAAAAATATAAATTCAAATACTCCAATTAATTAATAAATTATTAAATGAAAAATGGTAAAGCTAAATAACAAAAAAATAAAATAAAATAAAATAAAATAAAATAAAATAAAAAAACATAATCAAATAATAAAATATCAATTCTTATATAAAATTGTAAAACACGTAATACTATATTTAATAATTTAAAAACAAAACAAACAAAAAACGTATTAAAGAAACCGATCAATCACAAAGCCAAATAAATAAATATTAAAAACAACACCTTTTTTTTTTTTTTTTTTACCTATTTCTCGTCAACCAATCATGAGACACACGAAGAAAATACAACTTGAACAGACGTGAAAATATAAAAAAAAAAATAAAAAAAAAAAGAATGAATTAAATTAGAAACGAAACAACGTCGACACGATTTTACACTTAAGTAGAAAATTTCAAGACTAAAGTGTTGTACTCCTCCTATCGTTCATTTACTATCACTTATTATTAATATAATTCATCGCGGATGTTACAGTTTTAAGTGTTTATAATTTTTACAAAACACCAGAGCCGGTTAACATTAAAAAAAAAAATAAATAAAATAAAATAAAAGAAAACTTACGTGGTATGGCATCGTACGGATGCGTTGACTTTCCGTGTTCTTGTGAAATAATAATAAATAAAATATGTAAAATGTAATTTTATCTACGGTCTATTTATTCGATCGATTATACATCATTTTATCTAATTAACATTAACAATTTTTGCTTCTATTTAATTACCTGCCTATGTATTTAACAAAACCCTTTTTTTTTTTGTCTATTTCTTTCTTTCCTTCTTTCGCATTTTTTACTTTTTTTTATTTTTGTTTTTTTTTTTGTTTTTGTTTCTAAATGATCAAGATGGATCAAGAAATTGTTGAATACTTTCTCACGATCATCATCTTTCTAACGTTCGCTCTAGAAAAGCATTAAACTACAGATGATTAAGATAAAATCATTTTGTTCCTATCGTTTTCCCGTTTTCTTCCTAGCTTTTGCTTTTGCTTTTGCTTTGCTTTGCTTTGCTTTGCTTTGCTTTGCTCGCTTGCTTTTCGTGCACGAGAATGCAAAACTGCAACGGTTTAACAAAAAAAAAAAAAAATAAAAATAAAATAAAAATATATCTACACAGTAGATGGATAATTATTCCTTATTGCTACCTTCGATTGAAAGAATAACTTCTCTCTTCTTCCCTTTTCTTTTTTTTCTTTTTTTTTTTTCTTGTTATTTCCCTTATTTTCTTCCCTTCTCTCTTATTCCGTTTTGTAAAAAGATAAATAATATCTTTTATCTTTTTTTTTTTTTTTCTATTTCACGTTTTATTTCATTTCTTTTTTCTTTTTTTTTTTTTTAAATACAGTATTTTTCTTTGTGGACATTAGTGACAAGTGGAAAATGATCGATAATCGTCCGTAAAGATAATTTACATACCTTTAAGATGAAACACATATATACACACACAGGACACACATACACACACACATACATGTCTGTTAAATACAGAAATATATTTTTATTAATCATTGTAATTTACGTTTATCGACGATTAATATCAATTTTAATTTGATTTTCTTTGACGTGTCGTTGATAATTATTAATATTTTTTTAATTTTTTTTTAATTTTATTTTTCTCCTTTTTTTTAATCTTTACGTGTCAAATGAAATCGACGATATTTAAATTAATTCGATTGAAAATAATTAAATGCGTTTCGAAGAAATATGGTTAAAACGAGATTGGTCAGGAAAAAATTAAGATCATTTCGTTTATGAAGTTAACGAGATCAAATTAATACGATAACGTCGAGAAAATAGACACACACATACATACACACACATACACACACACACGAGATATATATTTATATATTCATTTTTTTGAAAGTTTAACCAATTTTCTCGCAAATGATACCCTTTCGTGCAACTCATTTTTCTTCTTGTCTCTCGATTAGCTATATATATATATATATATTATTACAAGTTAGAGATAAA